TTGTTAGCAGCTGTCATTTTTGAAAATCAATCCTCCAATAAAAACAAGCCCCTGAAATAGTCACTTATAGTTAACTAACAGTTATTAAACATTAGCATCAGTCAGGGTATGATAAACGATTTGAGTAGTAACTGCAACATTGACTATCAGCTAAGCTTAGCTTCGAGGTAGCTAACAGGAGCATTTAACTACATATTGATAAACCGGCCCTTAGTCTGGTTTTATAAGGCTAATCCTCTTTCCAAAAGGTTTGTTTTCAAACTGATTTCATAACATTGGTAACACCTTCTTGGCTTCTTACAAATGCTCCTTCAAGATGCTGTATAAACTACCTGATAGAAAATTGGGAGTACCTCATGCGGACGGGATGAATTAATATTAATCAACATTGCTGCAGGTTTTTCCGAGTTTTCCTGCAGCTGTAAAAGCAAATGCGCCACTGGAATCAATGAAGTCGCCCAGGAGCGTCAATTAATTTTTGTTGTTGTTTTATCAATAATTCAAACTCAGAATAGAACAGAATTTATTTATTCATCATTAAAATATCGTACACAAATAACATATAGATTACTGGTATATTTATCAGACTAGACAACACAAATCTGTCTGTTTGAAAAAATCTGTTTAAAATCTGTTTTTCCGTTAATCAGCTGTCGCCCCCGTACAAACGACAACTCTCAGAAGTTGAGAAACTTGTGCGAGCTAAGGATCAACGAGGTCTTACCTTTTAACGTGTCATTCCTAACACAAACAAAAGAAAATAGCAGATTATACATTCAAGTCTCTAAAAATTCTTTGACATTGTGTAATGTATTTTCCAAGAGAACTTATCAGCTTCCTGTTATTCATTTGTTTTGATATCAGTTATTCATTTTCTCCCTAGAAAATACCCTAAAAAAATTTCCCCCCCAAAAAATCTCCTTTTTCAAATTATATCCCTAAATTTAGGAGGGACACCTCCCAAATTGGCATCACTGGCGTGATCTGTCAAAAACAGTGTTGCCAAAAAGATACCAGTAAAAAATCATTCATTACAATAATCCAGGACGAGGACCCTGGTGGAGACTGACCCATCACAAACGGTGTACGGGATGGCAGAAGAACTGGGCGTCAGCTTTTATGCAGTTTTTGACTGTTTGAAACGCATTGAAAAAGTAAAATAAGTCGAGAAGTGGGTGCCACATGATTTGAACCATCGACAGAAATTTTCGCAATGGGAAATGTTATTCCTGACGAAAATCAAGTAGTTTTCATAAAAGAGCTTTTAAACAACGCATTTTAAACTTATCATTTCAACCTTCTTCTTTAAAAAATTATTTAAATACTTAAAAAAGAGGAATGAAATAATGCATTCAACATTTAAAGGGATTCGTTTCTATTTCACCATTTGGCAACATCGGTTATAGCTAATAAAGGACAATGAATCTGTTACCTGTATGAGACAAACAAAGATGACATATTTCAGAGACGTGCTGTTCTGTTTACTTATGTTCCGAGACATTCTGTGACATATGACATTTTGTGCACCTAACCTATCTTCCTCTATAT